GTAGATGACCGCCCTTCATGTTTAACACGTTGAAGACTGCGTTAAAAAGTCTGATTTCTCGCATTATGTTTGTTCTTAATTACGTATATTATTTTTTAAATATGTTTTTAGTGTACAAAAATTTGAGGTAGACATTATTTAAGCTCTAAATTTATTTAAATTAAAGTGCCCACGGGTGATCACCCAGTCCCAACGCGTTTTCCTTCGTTGCGGAGAGACCCACCGGTGGGCATGCGATCTTTAACGTGTTAATAAGAATATTATTGTATGTTTTATATTCTAGCTTGCTACAAGAGTACTTTTAATGTTTTTGTTGAAGATCGCACAGAGTAGCTAATTAAAACATTAGCACAGATCTTATGAACGATTCTCAACCAAAAAATTTTACAAAGACAAGAATACTTTTATTTTTTTTGTTGTAGATTGTACAGATTAACTAATTAAAACATTAGCACAGATCTTATGAACGATTCTCAATCAAAAAATTTTTACATAGACAAGAATACTTTTATTTTTTTTTGTTGAAGATTGTACAGATTAACTAATTAAAACATTAGCACAGATCTTATGAACGATTCTCAACCAAAAATGTTAACAAAGAAACGTCAAAGTGACAGTTCATGTTTAGTAAATATTTAAATTGTTTGTGGCAAACAAACAATGTAATTATTTACTCGATATTAATGAAAGTCAGCGGAAATTTTAGTCTACAGATGACTTCATATAAAGTCTTCTTGGATTAATATACTTTTAAGAGGTTATTAAACCTCCTGAAATAGATTAACCAATCATTTTAACTGAGGGTTCGCGAAAGTGAATTATTAATAACCTATTCAGTACAGAGTGCTTTTAGTAAGATAACGGGTGAGTGCAGGTTCAATTCTGTGCTGCTATCTCAAATGCACTCAGCATGCAACTGTATTTTATCATTACGACCTGCATTACGAGGCCCGGCAGCCATTAAACTTGAAAGAATATTGTAGTTTTATTTATGGATCACGCGGCTTCATTTATTTATCTGTGGTAATTTAGTAGTGCTATTACCAAAGACTCCAAAAGTTACCAGTCAATTTAAAACAAAGTTTTCAAAATTTATGACTCCGTGATTATAGGCTGTATGGTATTGGTTTCCTTTGCATAGAATGGAGACGACTGAAAAAATATAGAATATAAAAAACGATTTTATATTTAACTTTTTTATTGTTTTTTTTTTACTGCTTACATAAATTTCTGCTTGCCCTATGGTTAACTGGAAGAACATGCCTCAAAGTGTTAAGTCGAAATTCGACTATATTTATTTCAACATTCAGTAAGACTATAGACAAATAATAATATTAAAAACAAACAATGTTAATCTATTCTCAATTTGACCACAGACTTCATTACATAGTATAAAACAAAGTCGCGGTTTAAAATTGACAAAGTTTCATACAAATTTTCGTCCCCTATTTTATCCCCTTTAGGGTAGAATTAATCAAAATCCTCTGTTAGCGATTGCCTACGTCATAACATCTACCTGCATGCCAAATTTCAGCCCGATCCTACCAGTTCCATCCATCCATTAATCTACGTGTCAATGTCACTGAGATTTTTTAGTCTCTGGACTCTGCCGTTCCGTTTCAGGTTACTCTGAATGCTTTATATAAAGACACATGATTATTGACTTTACCATTTTTAATTAATAGTGTTTCACACGTTTATTAACAATGTAAATGACTTAGATTATTAAAAAAGTCCCAACTAATAAACCCCCCAATGCATACAATATTCACAATTACCTATCTCTTATTTATAAACTCCCACTACGGTTTAACTGTAATAAGTAAGTTAGTTATGTGTCAAATAACTGTTAAAAAAACCTTGAAAATTCACATCCAGGCTAAAGTGTGTTTACTTGGTCGTACCCTAGTATAGGATAGCGGTGGGGAGGTAGGCCAAGTAAGAAAAAAAAAAGAAAAAAAAACTCCCGCCACGTCAGTTCCATCCATCAATCTACTTGTCAATGTCACTGAAATTTTTTAATCTCTGGCCTCTGCTCGATAAAACTTTAAATAATTGATACAAGGATATGGACTACGGATAAGACTTAAATTTTGAACACGAACATAATAAATAAACATACATAAGAATTGGCCTTTGGCCTCATCACTTGTTCAAATATGAAGAAGTTTAAAAGTAGACTAGGCTGTACGGTCTAAGGATCTTTGCCTGTTCCATCACTGAAAAAGAGATCGACGAATATGGGAAAAAAAAATCTCTGGCCTCTGCCGTTCCTTTCAGGTAACTCTGAACGCCTTAGATAAAGAAATATGATTATTTATTTACCATTTTCAATTAACACGTCAGTTAACAATATAAATGAGTTTCTTGAAATGAAATGAAATAATTTATTTGCGAAATATTTGTACAGTATTATAATTAATATGATGTTACATGAAATTGATTGATCAGCAATATTTACCATACAGGCATGTATACGTGAAGGTGTTTGTGTTACTTAAATATTCTTGGACACTGTAAAAATTACTAAGTGACAGCCAATTCTTTACTTTACGTTTGAATTTATATATTTTAAATTATAAAACCTACCCTTAATATTGTGAAGCATGGTGAGGATTTCCAAGCAGTAAGGCTTTACAACTCTTTGCCCAATAGTTTAAAGAAAATACATAATTAGAAGCTTTTTAGGAGGAGGTTGCGTTGTTTTCTGTTGGAGCAATCATTTTACAGTGTTGATGAATTTCTTAGCAGCAAAAATTGTATAATTTCAAACACAATATAAATTGTTACTGAATAAATAAATATCTATCTAAAAAAAAAAATATCTATCTATCGAATAACGTATGAGATCCCAGTTCTTTAATCTCTCTTGGAAGATTGTACTTTTCTTAGATTATTAAAAATGTTACAATAACACAATTTAAGTCGATATACAAATATTTACTTTTTATTTCTTTTATGTGTCATTGAAGCGAGCTAACTTCGTTTCTCTCTTCATTTTCCACGATTTTTCTCCTAAACCAACACAATGGGTACAAATTGTATGCTTACATTCACTTCCTGCGGCGCGCTATATTTGAGGGTGAAAATTTACATTTCCCGCCGAAATTTCTATTCGTTTATGGTAATTTCTCTATGGGTTTTATGAGGTTTTTATAGATTTTTGTGAGTGTTATGTTCATTCGTTTGTCTACCGACTGTTGAAAAGCATATATACATACACTAGCTGTTCCCGCGACTACGTCCTCGTGAAATTTAAATTTATTTTTCTAAAATAAAAGTATCATTAGTTACTTCTTATTACATCGGCTACCTGCTAAAAAAAGTCCTGTCAAAATCGGTCCAGCCATTTCAGAGATTAGCCGGAACAAACAGATAGTCAAAAATTGTAAAAAATGTTATTTTGGTGTATGTACTGTATTTATATTCATATGCATGTAGTAAAAAACGGTTATTTCAATATTACAAACAGACACTCCAATTTTATTTATATGTATAGATATATACAACTCGCTCCGGCTTCCACACAAACACCTAGACCGATACAAAAAATCATACTCATGAATATAAACGTTTGTATCGTCCAAGGAATCGAACCCGCGACTATCGGAAATAAAGCGATGTGCTTAACCACTAAATCACCGAGGCCGTCTATTCATAATATTAGTTACTCAAATTAAAAAATCTTTTATTCATATAGGCATTTTTTCTCCTACCGTCCAGTTCAGCTACAGATTCAATTGAGAAGAACTGGCAAGAAACTCAATTGAATTAATTTTTGGTTTAGTTCATTTAGTTAGTAATTTTACAAAATTCCATCGCCTGAACGACACTGATGACTCGCAATCAACGCTCGCTGTACTCGTAAACTTGATTCCGAATCATCCGACCTTATTGACTCCAATGAGGCCAATTGATTGCTTTACGATCATCAGGCCCCGCCGACACCGGCCAGCCGTACTCTACAATCAGACTTGACAATGACTTTGACTTTGACATACAAATAAAATTTTTAAATGATTTCCAATCAATGATTGGAAGCTGTAGAATCATGGTATGTATTAATCTTTATATATAAAAACTATTTGATAACACAAACGTTGTTTTACCGTATAAATTAAAATCACTATTAAAACATTTAAGATTGTATGTATTTTTAATAGCACATATTAAAAAAATATTTAAAAAAATTGCCCAAAAATTAAAAAAATAATGTTAGGGGTAGACAACCCTTATCACTTAGGGGTATGAAAAATAGATAGTAGCCGATACTCAGACCTACTGAATATGCATATAAAATTTTATAAAAATCGATCAAGCCGTTTGAGTGGAGTATGTTAACTGACATTATGACACAAGAATTTTATATATAAGATTACGTATCAAGTTGTTTCTCCGCGATGTACTCCTAAACTACTGAATCTTTAGCAAATTTAATTTGCTATTCAAGGTGCTTGGACCTGTAGCACTGCGACCTACATAGATCTATTGTGCTCGCCCTTTTTCAAAGTTCGCTACCTAGACCCGTCAGGGACAAGAATTGAAGGATATTCTTAGGAGCGATGGTTTTTATCTCCCCGGGAGTGTAAATTTTCCAAAGGAGATATTTCGTTTATGCATGAGTGGGCCACAACCACATAGGATGTGTAGTGGCGTTTCCTCTTCAGTTTGGCAAATATGACTATACAAAAGTGTTAATATTAAGTTTATTTGAATAAAGATTTTTTATTCTAATCTCTTTATGTTTCTCCAAGAATTTCTATTCTATTTCTATTTCTCCAAGAATTTCTGTTCTATTTCTATTTCTCCAAGAATTTCTATTCTATTTCTATTTTTCCACGAAAATCTATTCAATTACTGTTTTTCCAAGAATTTCTATTCTATTCCCATTTCTCCAAGAATTTCTGTTCTATTTCTATTTCTCCAAGTATTTCTATTCTATTTCTATTTCTCCAAGAATTTGTATTCTAATATTTTCTATTTTCTCTCTTTCCAGCCAAGATGACCTAACCACCAGTCCTTTGGTGACCATGGGCGGGATGGCGCGCGCTGTGCTGTGGTGCTTGGTGGTGGCGTGCGCGCTGCACGTGTCGCGTGCTACGTGCCCGTGGGCGTGCTCGTGCAGGGCGGCTGCAGCCGACTGCGCGCACAGAGGGCTCCTGCACGTGCCCAAGAGGCTGCCTACTGACTCCCATCGATTGTAAGTACTCTTAGCTTTTTTGCAGGGAATGCATACAAAATCATTTATTACATGACAACGCTTTTGGACTAGTCATTGGAGTACCTGTTTCAGACGAGGCGTTCCTCGGTACCACTGATCTAATTTGTTGAGAAACTATTTTGATATTAATATATTTAAAGTTTTCTTATATTCTATAATCAAAATTATATAATCTCTATATAATTGTCACTTCACTCTCTACCATCTTACCATTAAATACATTTTTCCAGTCATAAATAGTTTTACTAGATATTTATACAACATAATTTAAAATAAAATATATTTAAAACAAAAAAAATTACAATCGTTAGCGCGAAGGACTTGAGTTATACAGTTATTGTAAGAGTTGGCAACCAAAATGAAAATTTAATCTAAATATAAAACAATTAAAAAGAAATAATGCTTGCATAGTGTAAAACAAAGTCGCTGTCGCTGTCTGTCCGTCCCTATGTATGTTTAAATCTTTAAAACTACGCAACGGATTTTGTAGCGATTTCTTTTAGCAGATAGAGTGATTCAAGAGGAAGGTTTATATGTATAATACATGTACACCCGTGCGAAGCCGGGACTAGTAGGGAGTTAATAATATTTCGTCAAGGGAAGGTTTTATATTTATTTACAGTATTTCAACCGCCATGATCCCGGGTAAACTGTCAGTTTACCCGCGATCATCAGGGGTTGAAATAGTGCCGAAATATCGGGAACTCAGTAAATAAATATAAAATGTGGTAAGATCCCGTGATTTTTACTAATTATACGTATAAATAATGACCACATTTTACCACGTTTTATATTTATTTACAGTATGAAATAGTGCCGAAATATCGGGAACTCAGTAAATAAATATAAAATATGGTAAGATCCCGTGATTTTTACTAATTATACATATAAATAATGATCGCGTCAAGTTTAAAACACCTTTAATTTAATATTTCGTTTGAGCAATATTAATTATTTGTGTATATAAAAGTTACGATTATTGATCCTATATTGTGTAACAAATTAATATAACTTAAATAAACCGTTACATTTAATTGATGTAACCTTTATTCCGCATCGAGGTCGCCATTTTGTTTGCACAATAGTTTCGCCAAGATGTCTGAATTTATTATAATTTATGGTATGCGAAATATTATTGTATTACTTAACTAAAACTATAATATATATAATAACATATATATTGTATTATATATAGTCTTTGGTATAATGTATGTCTAAGATATAATCTAATTATATAGTATAAATATAGTCTATGAAGTTTGTAGCGTACTCTGTGCAGTTGATAGTCTGTATTGTGAAAAAAGGCGGGAACGGGCCAAATTAAATGTGATATATAATAATAATAATAATAATCTAATAAAAAATAATCGCTTTACTATCCGATGGTCGCGGGTTCGATTCCTCGCACGGTACAAACATTTGTATTCATGAGTATGATTGTTTGTATCGGTCTGGGTGTTTTCTATGAATAATATATATTTATTTACAAAAAATGTATTTGTATCAGTTGTCTAGTACCCATAACATAAGCTCTACTTAGTTTGGGACTAGATGGCGCTGTGTTAATTGTCCTGAGAGATTATTATTATTATTAGATATATATATATATATATAGTCAGAGACGCTATCAGGCCATCGGTGGGGATAGCAGTAACTCTCTTCGTCTAAGTTTGTAGTCCAATTGAAATGACAGATCCATAGGTCGCTGGTTCATTTCCGTTGGGAAACTCATTCCGCATCATTTTGTTTCACAATTATTACATCAAGATGTCGGATTTTATTATAAATTACGATATGCGAAATATTCTTATAATATAATACTTCATAATTACATAGTCTAAATATATATATAACTCAAAGGTGACTGACATAGTGATCTAACAACGCACAGCCCAAACCACTGGACGGATCGGGCTGAAATTTGGCATGCAGGTATATGTTATGACGTAGGCATCCGCTAAGAAAGGATTTTGATTAATTCTACCCCCAAGGGGATAAAATGGGGGATGAAAGTTTGTATGAAACTTTGTCAATTTTAAACCGATCGGGATGAGACTTTGCATGCATAAAGCTACTATGATGCATGCATGAAACTGTTAGCTCTGGCGGGTGCACCATTCCATTATCATCCGTAAAAAAAAAGGTACACACGCGGACGAGGTTTTCTTAAATATCAACCTTCCTGATATCAAGCTATATTTTCAACTCGAATAAATTTCTCACCACAGACAATGTTGAACCATAGATATTGAACCGCAATAAAGAAGGGTGTATTATAATATGTGTGAAAATCCATAGACAATATCAATATATCGGTGAATGGGGATATTTTCCATACTCCATGGGGTCGCTTTATGGGTTTTCTATGGAATACAGTGTAGATGAAATCCAGAGGGTTTTGAAAGTTATTTACTGAAAAGAATGAGTTCAAAATTGGGATAAAAACATAGTTATATAATATATACGTATAAATAAAACTGGAGTGTCTGTTTGTAATATTGAAATAACCGTTTTTTACTACATGCATATGAATATAAATACGGTACATACACCAAAATAATGTTTTTTACAATTTTTGACCGTCTGTCGGTTTGTTCCGGCAAATCTCTGAAATGGCTGGACCGATTTTGACGTGGCTTTTTTTGGCAGGTAGCTGATGTAATAAGGAGTAACTTGGCTAGTTTTATTTTAGAAAAATAATGTAAATTCCACGCAGACGAAGTCGCGGGTACGGCTAGTAATAAATCAAAATTATCTAAAAAAAATGTCCGCATAACATTATATGTCTATCTTTAAAGATTGACTCACTATAACCTTTTTTATGGTAATGAAATTTGGTATCAAAAGATAATATAGTGTTTTTGATAATCACGCGAAAAAAATCGCGGGCACAGATAGTCTTCCAAATATATATAACTCAAAGGTGACTGACATAGTGATCTATCAACGCACAGCCCAAACCACTGGACGGATCGGGCTGACATTTATTTATTTTAATTTTAATTCAGTCTACATACACACAGGCAATTTAGCATGTAGATGTTATGACGTAGGCATCCGATCCTAAGAAAGGATTTTGATTAATTCTACCCCCAAGGGGATAAAAGTTTGTATGACACTGTCAATTTTAAACCGATCAGGCTGAAATTTTACATGCATGAAGCCACTATGACGTAGACATCCCCTAAGAAAGGATTTTGAAAAATTCTACCCCTAAGGGGATAAAATAGGGGATGAAATTTTGTATAAATCTTCTTAGATTTTCGACTGATTGAACTGAAATTAAAGATTGGAGCTACTATGATGAAGACGTTCGCTTAAATAGGATTTTGATAATCCAACCCCCATGGGGATGAAATATAGGGATGATGCAGGACGTAAATGTATTAGTTTGAACCTATCAGTACCTAATGGAACGAATAAATTAAGCCGAACAAATTAATTTTTAGTTCTTTAGGCTACTTTTATTTTAGAAAAATAAATTGAAATTCCACGCGGACGAAGTCGCGGAAACAGCTAGTGCTATATAGAAGTAAAATGTTCAGAGTAAACATCTATTCCCGCCATATTGCTCTGTGTCTCACGAATATCGACTAGCGAGTTATTCGTAATATACAAATATACATTCGCGTGCAGAAGTTATTTATCCAATAACATATCATAAACTACGCTTGTTTTTTTTTTTAATTTTTATTCAGAGTTAGTTTATAAGTTTTTATTCTTTTTTAGCAACAAAGTATTTTTTTTAGATAGATCAGGCAATGATCGTATGACGGTACATCCTAACTTAGAGCACAGTACAGCCTTTTTTTTAGAGATTAGAAGTTTTTATTCTTTTTTAGCAACAAAGTATTTTTATTTAGATAGATCAGGCAATGATCGTATGACGGTACAGCCTAACCTATAAATTAAAGTGGGTTTGTTTATTTTTCTTTTTTTTTTTTAGAGATTAGAAGTTTTTATTTTTTTTAGCAGCAAAGTACTTTTTTTTTTAGATAGATCAGGCAATGATCACATGACGGTACAGCCTAACTTAAACTGATGTGTGCTGCTACAATTTTTTTATTTGTATCTACACACATATTGGTTCCCCCGTCCAATTCAAACGGGGATCGGAATTACGACGGCCTGAGCCGAGGTTCGAACCCTAGCGGTGACTTCAGACTGGCGTCGTATCCGTCAGGCAGGAGTTGTCCTTCAGCCGCTCCATAAGTCCTTCCTTTGGTTTGGAGTGCCATCTGCACTCGCCCCCTATCGTCCGGTGAAGCTGTAAAGGCCAGCTGCATTAGAGTAGTCAGAAAAAAATCTTATTTTTTCTTTCTAGAATTTCTATGCGCGCCTGTATATTGCGGTAACCACTTACCATCATATGTTGATTTAATAATGCTCTCATTTCTTTTTTCTAGTCTATTCGCGATGTTGATTATCGCATAACTAATAAAATTGTAACCATTTACCATCAGACTGGCCGTATGCTTGTTTGTCACCTAAAATTAATAATTCTCTCATTTCTTTTTTCTAGAATTTCTATTCGCGATGTTGATTATCGCATAACTAATAAAATTGTAACCATTTACCATCAGACTGGCCGTATGCTTGTTTGTCGCCAAAAATTAATCATTCTCTCATTTCTTCTTTCTATTTGCGACTTCTGTTCGCGACTGTATATTTCCCAATAAGTCTTTGCTACGAAATTGGTATAAATAAATAGGGAGCCACGTGGCGTCGTGTACGACGTCTGGGTCCTATAGGTTTCTAAGAAATTATTGATTAACATTATTATGATATCTTAATACTGCGTGGGAGCGAGAGGTACGTGCGAGAAAGAGACAGAATAATATATTAGTATACAGTAGATAGTTAGATAACATTTTTTTTATTTGTATCTTAGTATATTTATTTATTCACTAGCTCTACCCGCGATTTGGTCTGCGTGGATTTTAACTTTATTTTTTAAAAATAAAAGTAGCCTAAGTTAC